CCTCCCGATTTTAGCAGCAGGACGTGTCTTATTAACATTCTACGCGATTCCCGGGGCCATTTCATGTGTGGTGGTGGTGGTGGTGGTGGTGGTGGTGGTGGTGGTGCTGCTGCTGCTGGTGGTGGTGGTGGTGGTGGTGGTGGTGGTGGTGGTAGTAGTAGTAGTAGTAGTCGTCGTAGTAGTAGTAGTAGTAGTCATCGTCGTCGTACTATGACAAGAATAAGTAAGAAAAGTAGTCGTCGCAGTCGTAGTGGTAATCGTAGTAGGAGCTGGTCGCATTGTTGACGTGGTAGTTTTGGGACCTCGACTTCTGCGAAATGCTGGCAACGCCAGCATTTTGCGCCAGCAGCACCCCCTTCAAGACGGGGTCTGATTGTTGGACATTGTTCATTGCTTTAATGCTTGGGGTAAGAGACGCTGAAACATGCACGCTGCGGCTTGCGTTGGCTTCAGGTTCTCCCAACAGCTGAGAGCACCGTGAGGGTCCGAGTTCGTGGCATTCAGCGGTTGCCTCCGCAGGTGTAACAAGTGCGGGGCCCGCAAGCATTTCGTGCAAAACCAGCTTTCTTTCTTGGCTGCAAGAAGTCTGGCAACACCTGCCGAGAAGAGATCTGCATTGACGCGGGGATTTTGGTGTGTGGGTGGTCAACATTTTTCATCCAGTGCCTCATGTTTTTTGGGGGCAGAAAGAATCTTGAACCCTGAAGGGCGTTACGAATTCATGAGGGTTCTACACGCAAGTGTGTAATGTACCTCTTCCGGAGAACCCTTTGAACATCATACTTGTACATAATGTTAGCGACGGCGTATCAGTTTCCCCATGGTAAAACTCGCAGTTCCGTTCGAAATCGCACGTTTTGGGAACTGTTTCTTGCCTCGCCCAAACCCAAACATGTCCATGTGCCGAAGTGCCGCGCGTGTCACTGTTTTGATGTTCCAAGGTGCAGAAAACCCACGGTCCGCTAAGCAACAGGTACCAGCACAACCGCCAACAACAACAATAAGAACAACAAGAAGAGCAAGTACAAAAACAACAGATAGGCCTTTGGCAGCAAGCACCGGTGCTGACGAAGGCCAGAGCTTTTGTCTTGAGCATCCCTGGCCACATACACGTGAACGAATCATGCCTTCAACCGCAGCGGGCTCTGTTACGTAGCTGCCATAGCTGGTTCTGCAACATCTGCAACTCGCTAGTTTAAAGCTGCCAGCATTCTGAGGCAGGGCACTATCTGCATCCAGCATCCGTCCAGCCAGCGCAGCAGGTGCGGACAACCGGGGTGCAGTGGCGATACCTTTGAGTTCACCGAAGCTCTCAGAACATTGCGCAACATCAGGGCTGCTGCCAAGGTGCTGCAAACGCTGCCCACGTGCCCTGCTCGCAGGGCCACCCACTGTCCCGAGCTAAGATGGACCACCTTAGCCAGATGGTCTTGTACGTCCTGGCAAAAGTCTGAGCTGACAGATGGGTACCCTGCACCATGTGTTGCATCTGCAAAGCAGATGCAGGCATAGTCCTGCACAGCATGTTTATGTGTCGCCATCTCACAAGTACTCCAGCAAGGAATGTGGAGGAAGTCTGGGTCCTCGCCAGCTCCAATGGAAACAGAGAGAACTCCGCTTGCAAAAAGCTGAGCCGGGCATGGCAGCATCTTCCAGTTTTCAGAACCTTGAAAGACCAGGTGCCAGATAGCAGCAGATGCTAGCAGCTAACATGTCCATGCTGGTCTGCTGCTTAGCCTCCGCGAGACACCAAGAGGGAGCCATCTTCACAACCAATGCACCTTAGACTCAGTCTTAAATTCAAAGGCCTTTTCTGCGGTGCCTCACACCCAAGCCAAAGTCTCCAACTTCAAGCTCTGCCGAGAAACACAGTACTGGCCTTCGCATCCATGCAGGTAGGCTTCCCTGTCGGCGCCTGAACCACCTGCAAATAGGGGCATCATCTTTGCCGTTGGAGGCGTTGCGATGCTTTTGCCTGTTCCCGCTCCCCTGCGAAGTTCATGACCTGCTGCGGGATTTCGCACACTTCACAAGATGCACAGCCGTGTGCGGTTTCCCCTCCCCACCACACCTGAAGCCGGTCTGTCAGCAGGTAGGCCAGGCGTCCTGGCAATGTTTCATCCCGTGAAAGACTGACGGCAATCAAGCGCGGCGCATGCGGGGCCTTCCAGCTCAAAACCTCTCAGAGCCTTGGAAAGATCCACTCGCAGCACCTCCGCGCTTGAGGAAATGTTGCAGGTTGCAGGTTAGAAGCTCAGGATGCCCGATGCCCTTCGCACGCACCTGCCGAGGGCCACCGGGTGCTGCATAGCTCCAGAAGTGCACGACATCCACCTGCCGACTGTTCCCTTCGTTCTGCAACCTTTCAGCAACGTTTCCTCACAACACCAGCCTCTGCAACTGCGAAATGCCGCGCGTCTTCAACAAGACGCACAGCCAAGGGTGACTTGGCAGGCCCCAGCGAGCCCTGCGTTAGGGGCCGTGGACCTCGAGTCTTTTGGAGTTCTACTTGATCTACCTCTGGCGTAATGTGGCGGAACTATGCTGGAGAGCCGGCTCAGAAGTTCAGCGTCCCAGTAGATGATGCAAGCTGACAATGCCTGGTCCGCCCAGCAGAGGCACAGACATCAGCATCGACAAAGGGTCAACCCTGCACGCTGCTGTCTGACAGCTTGCTCCGCAAAACATTGGAGCCGATATGAGTTCAAAAAACGCCAGGGGGTTAACCAGGATTTGACGGGGATCGGGACTGCGTTTTGTCATGGGCTACTCCCACCTGTTGCATAACCTTTCTCATGGCCTGTTATGGCATACCTTCATCGCGAATGCTTGGTACTCGCATGCCCGCAAAAGAGCATCGCTGCCATTGTGCTTATAGCAGGCTGGACAATTTGTTGCAAGCCTGTGTCGCAGAATGGCTACCCAAACCCAGTCTTTTCCATTGGAAAGCAGCTAGGGGTTTCAGGAGTTCGCCATGCCGCTGTGCAGGGGGCTGTTGGCGTGCCATCAGATTGCAATTTGGGCATCATGCTTGCTGCGATGCTGTAAAAGACCAGCTGGCTTGACTAAAACCATACAGACACGTGGTCAAGAACCTGGCCGGCTCTTCACGCCCAGTGCGAACATTCCAGCAGCACTTCACTGCAACATGCTGGCATGCCTCTCCCTACCCCCAACCCTGGATGCTTGGAGCTCTGCCGGCTGCCCATGCATAACAACGAGGTGGTGTGTTTCTCGATGGAAGTCCACCTTGGATCCATTTTGAGGATCAGGAGACCCATGTGGGTTGGGCTCGGTGATCGTACTCCTCTGCATTTTGGCAGTTCTATTCACAGAACCACACCGTGAATCATCACTTCTTAAGCCCTGTTCAGCCTGTTTAAGTGAGCCTTCCCGCGTAAGCCCCGAGCCCACAACCCTTGCGACACTACATCAGCGAGGCCATGTTCACCGACCTAGGTTCACTCAGAGCCAAAAACACCTTTGCTGCTAGCTGTGCTTAGGCGCTTTGCCAATCGCTCAAAATACGGTAAGCTCTTGGCCCGCACACCGTCTGCAGCACGCCAGGCAGTCAGTGTTGGTTGCCCGCTCGGTGACACCCAAATACCAAGCACAAATCGTGCATCCTTCAAAGACTAAGCCCTAAAGCAGAAGTTTAAGGATGTTCCTAAGGAGGTTCAAGCCAACGAGCCTTGCTGAAGAAAATCTGCGAGCAGCGCTGGCCTGGCTGCCTCAGAGCTGAAACCCATTCAGTTCTTGAACCTGTTTCTGAACCTTGGAGGATTCAAGCTGTTGTCAGTTGCAAAGCCTCCATTTCTTCTTGCGCGCCGTTGTATGTGCATCCATGAGTGGCTGCATGGCATATGCCTGGCATGCCAGGGCCGTCCATCCCGTCAAGCATCCATACAGCCCGGCAAAGGCTGAATCTGGTCAGTCTTGTGGCAGCCCCACTTTACACTTTCGAGGCGTGCTCGGTCTTCAGCAGTCAAAGGAGTCCTCAGACAATTCAAGTCTTCCTCAAGCCAGGACCTCGGATGTTGCACAACACTCGCCGAATTTGAGGCGAACACGGGAAAAGGCTCGGTGAGTTGAGGTCTTGCTGCGGTTCAGGCGCGGTTTCAACATGCTTGTTGCCATGGCAATCCCCAAATCCAAGTACCAGCGGAGAATGATCCTTAATGAGCATTCTTCAAGCTTCCGACTATGCCCGCCACAGTGTCTGTCTGAACAAGTATCCTGAGAGGTGTTGTATTGTACTTGTCTGCAAGCTCATTGGTAATCGACCTGTGTTGCACAAGGTTGACGAGCTGAGCGAGCTCACCGGGATGCCCGCGCCTATGTGCTTCAAGTTCCGCTGGCTCATCGAGGCGCTGCCAGTTGAACGGGCCCCAGCCCTTACTGCAAAGGGTCAAATATCCGCAAGCTACTGGGCAGGGGTCCAGCTGCTGAGTCCAAGAAACAAAGAGTGCCATGCCCTGGCTTCTTGCCCACATTGCATAGGCAATCTGCTTCTCGGGCATGAAGGGCGTTATCCATGCGTACATAATTTCCGGCATTACGCCTCTTCAGGAGTGGAGACTTTTGATGTGCAGGTGTTGAGCCAATATGCTTTGAACCACTCAGTGCACTGTCTAGGGTCTGAAGGGAACTGACAATTTGACATTCTACGCCCTACGCATTCCCTGAATGCAATCGGCGCATACCTTGAAAAGAAAACCGTAAGGCCGCCTGTAGAATTGATCAAATATTCGAGCTCCCTTTGCGTGTGAAGCCCAACCTTCGCAATGCAGTGCGGGCTTGCGATACCCAGTGTCTTCATGCCCTATTGCTTGCGCAGCATGACTCTTACTCTCAAAACTTGCGAGCAGCTCCAATGTGGCGGATCTTCCCAGCAGTCTGCGCATCAAGGAGTCCTCGGTAGAGTTCCAGGTTCATCTCCTCCGTGACATTTGCCAGTTCAGGGCGGTTCTGTCGGGTAACTGCAACGCCCCAGTGGAGATAGATGTCCTTAGTACAGGTAGGAGGCACACCTTTTGGCTGCCAGCTGAGCTGCGTTGGTGTCGGCTGCTGCGGCCGCATTTATGCTCAGTCCAGGCTGCATCTGCATAGTCCACGTTCAGCCGCTGCAGGCTTGAATCAATCTGCGCGGCAGCCCATTCACGGATGTTGTCAGCGGGGACGCCATGAGGATCCAGGGCAGTGGTGACCTGTACTGAGTTGTGGTCACCCTGCCCTATACTAAGCCCTTTGTGTCATGTCAACTTAGGCAGCTACCCAGATCTCCTCTCTTGGGATGCCCGAGTCCCGAATGCCTTGTCCAATAGCCTGCTCATTGCCATAACCTGAAGCAGAGGTTAGGCGTACAAGTCTCAGATGATCCTGTCCACTCCAGCCTGGCGCTGTCATGACATGACGGCCGCCAGCGGTCAAGTATCTGGCATGAGCGTTTCACATGTAAACAAGTTGGTGCGAACGGTTCATACAGACCTGAGGCTGCGCCTTCTTGTCAGCATTATAAATGTGACATGCAGCATCGCTAAAGGCGGACATGTCTCTGCGGAGTCCCACTGTGAAGAGCCATGAGTGTTCTCAGGTGGCAAATTACAGTGCCATGCCGCATCTGCAAAGTATCTTGACTCTAGCAGCACATTTCGATTCACTTGGGCTCGCTTTGGTGCATAAGGGGATGAGAAGCTGGAGAGCGCTGCTGAATGGAGGCAACAGAATGGTCTGATTTAGGTATCTGGGGCTATCCTTCGATCAGAACGGGAGCCGCGAGTTTGAGCAGTGGCCTGATGACTTGTAACGCCGGGAGTCGGCATGGTCGTCTCGATGGGGCAGTGCTCCGAAGCACCGTGTAGAATCGGGTTGGCGGTGGCCATGGCGCGGCGGTGCTGATCGGCGTGTTACTACTACCAGCTGCAGGGCGAGAATGGAACGTGCTTGTTGATGATGATCCGCTGGCAAGAGCGATGGGCACCGAGGTAGGATCAGGTGAGGGCTCGGCTGGGGACAAGCCCGAAAAGATGCCAGTGCTTTCCTTCAACGGCATTGCCAGTGAGGAGGGTAAAGCGAGCAGCAGCACAAGGAGCTTTCTTCGCAAAAAAGTTGAAGCTTGGGGAAATGGTGACGACTGTGATGAGATCGTGATGCATTGAGGCATTGCACTCTACTACTACTTTACACCACTTTGAGAGAACAAGCTTGGCTGGAGGCCGAGCCTTGGACTTTGACAGGTTCAGCAGCACAAATGGAGCCAGCCTGGATTCGCGAAAGGTGCATTGATGTCGAGGTCACTCCAGTTCTTTCGGCAGCCGCGCAGTGGCGGAGATGTGAGCTGGAGATGCTTCTCTTGCGAGTTCGACGGGATGATTGCCAGGCGTTCTGTCTTCAATGAACAAGCTCAGGCTGCACGAAGCTGGGTAGAGTCAATATCATAAATGTGACATGCAGCATTTCCAAAGGCGGATGTCCCACGAGCATTCGCAGGTAGCGAATTACTGTGCTATGCCGCCTCTGCCAAGTAGTTTAACTCTAGCACATTGTGACCTGTCAATCACAAAAATGAACTGTCTTTGAGCTTGTGCAAATAATCGCAGGAAGGCTTGGCTCCCGAACCAAGGGATCCAACAAACCAGGCCATGCGCCAACGCCAATTTGTGAGATGCAACGAGACCTTCTGGAGACGTATGTAGAGGAGCCAGATGCAACCCGCCATGCGAAATCATGCAGGGAGCGGCACAGTTTTTGGCAGAGCACGTTTTTCAAGACTTCCCCGCCCCCCCCCCTGAGATGTAACCT